GAAGGAAATCTATAATAAGCGCGTCCATGTACTGCAAGGAGGCGGCGGAGCGAAATGCGTGGCCCTCATTAGGAATTATTTGCAGCTGATGCGGTTTGCCGGCGTTCACTAGCGCCTCGACCAAGGTGGACGTGTGCTTGAAATGAACGTTCTCGTCCAACAAGCCGTGGATAATCAGCACTCTGCCGGCCTCGGACGGAAAGTCGTCCACTCTACTTAGCAAGGAGCTTTCGACGTACACCGCCGAGTTTTCCTGCGGAAGACCGAGATAGCGTTCTGTGTACGCCGTGTCGTAGAGGTTCCAATTGACCACCGGGGCTCCGGATATTGCTATCTTAAACGAACGCGACATCACTTGGCCAAAGAGGTAATGAAACACAACCCAGCCAAAACTCACCTTGAACACTTCCGGGTTTTGACAGATTGCCATTAGCGACAGATAACCGCCTAAAATTATACAATACGTCACGCTACAGGCTGAAAATCAGTCTATCGTATCACACACCATATGACCATCCGTAAATAGCGACTCTTTCTAGATCGATAATTTTATACTCTTCAGCGATTGCAAATAAGCCCTCCATCTGATCCTCGATTTCAACCACACCCTAAGAGACAATAAGATAAAGCAAGAACAACAAAAACAAAATGTGCTGTAAGTCAGAAAGTCAAACATAGAGCATAACGGACGTGCATTTTAAAGGCAAAAAAGGACAGCAAATGGGGTCATTTGAAAGTTCCGAGGTCATGGCTATCAGTTTTCTCTCCCTTAAAATGAACCCGTTAATCAGCCAATGGCAAGGTGCAACAGAACAAGGGGCTTTCTGGCTTCATGGCTACCTGCCTAAGTAAACTGCCACAATGCTGACAAATAATTATCCATATTCCAAGGGGAATTAAAGAAATCAATATTTAATCATATTCATCTCCCATCGCCGCTTCTCCTTTCGAGTCGCGGAGACAGACGCGCAAGAAAGAGCTTCCAACGTTACCGATCCTGTGCCAGAGTTTGAGCTTCGGTAAAAGACGAATGGAGTCTGTAACAGACTCCTTTCATATATTTGCACCAAGTTAATCTTGGCCATCCCTTGAGCCTTCTGCCGGTCGGTTTCGTAAGAAAGAGTTGCTTAACCTTCCTTTCTGGAGGCATATTTAATCAATGTATGGAAAAATTTCAATCAAAATACCAGTCTTCAAGACCTGATTTTTCAACAATTATTTGTGTACGATAAAAGAGTCAAACAGACACCCTACCCGTCGTAGCAATGGAGTATCAAGGCAGTGCTGAACCTTCTCACTCCCGATGAAATGCTAAACTAAAAACATGGTCAAGTATCTCGAACTGTCTTATCAAAACCGCTCAAAAAAACGCTCCAGAAAGAGACAGAATCAGGCGGCTCGAAGTTGTCGAAAACTCGTCACATTTGTATGGTGAAATCGAGCCAATGAAGCTCAGGCAATTGACAGATGGAAAAATTACTGGAAAATCTCAAGAAATGCTACCGTCAAAAACAGAAAAAAACAGTGAGCTGTGAGAAACGATAAAACATTCGGCCATCATGCATAAAAATGTCAAAAAGTTAACAACTATACCATTTTTTGCTTCAGAACGGATTCGAATTTAATCCCTCTGTGAGCCGATCCCCGTCCGTCGATAATTATTACCACGTATCCCAAACTTGTCAACTTCTGCACGCACATCGACCTGTAAGTAAGAACGGTTGTACAGAACTTATGAAAATATGAACAGGCAAAAACCAGTAAGCATTGCACTGAACGTAAAACCAGAAAATAAGATAACGAACCCCAGCTTCAAGAAACCACGCAAAACAGTGTATGATAATAAGAAAATCAGAAAAAGTCACAAATTCAACAACAGAACAAAACAACACATTTCTTAATTCAAATGATGTTTCAACAAAATGGTTTCAGGCATAAAGGTGAGATCAATATAAAAATACGCTTAACTTTTGTCGCCAACGATTCAACAATCCTGACTAAATAATGGGTGATGGTGAAAGGTTTCAAAGCATGCACTGTGAAACGCAACGTGCAAATGTAGATTCATTAGTGCAAGCGCAGGTGCTTATTTTTGAGATGATTCGTGTATGTCTGTCTGTGGTGGGGGAGGTCAGATATCTGGGCATGGAAGTAAGCTAGTGCGTGTTTATGTCATTATCATTTGAGCTCTGTCAGGGTCTGCACTATTCAAACTTATGATTTCCGCAGAACGGCATTCACACAAACTGTACTGGTATGGTTTAGGCACCTGTCGCTATTCGCATGAAGGAAATAATTATAAGCGACCAGAGGTTCTTAAAGAATAAGTCCTCAGTGTGGGGGTGGCTTACGTGACAAGATGCTCATGAGATGATTTTTAGATATGCGCAAATGAAACTGAACTGTGCTATAGTACTACAAGGGAAACAATGAAAATGTATACACAAAGGTACGGTACATGCAGGGGTAGATCCGACGATTTCATCACTTGGTGCATGTAGGATCTTCAACTGTAGATGTTACACGGTCGTACAAAGCAAAGCCAAAATTCAGAGCAACTCTTTTTGAGATGCTTCACAGACTGCTGACCCTCAGCGCTACGTTTGAAATACTCAATATTCTAAAACAATTTCAGGCAAGTATAAGAACTGTTATTTTAAAGAGATGACCCAAAGAGAATCAGAACGAGTTACGATCAGTAAAGCTTAACTTCGCCGCAAACCAAACAGTTTTAAAAGGCAGATTTTAGCAGACAACAGTTCGAGAAGGTACGAAAAATGAATGAATGTGACGTAATTTAACGTCCGTTATATCAGGCCATTTTAGGACCAATATCCCAGTGAAAAAGACACCACAAAATTAATTCACAGAGAAACGATACATCAAATTGCCACCACATATTACTGGCAATGTTTGTTAAGCAAAGATGTTCATACCCCGTCCAGACGTTTTTCACAAGTTGAACTTCCGGTCCGCCATATACGTAAAGGACGGTAGGGTACTTTAAAGTCTCTTCACAGTTATCCGGCGTAAAGACGTAACAGTAATGAAGGAATCCGCTAGATCTTCCCACGAAATTGAAAATTTTTGGAGGTTCTAAAAAACAAGTAGTACCCTCTTGAGACGTGATCGGCAAAAGATGTCATTTCTTAATCATTTGTTATTTAGGTCATTTGTTATTTATTGTCATTTGTTATTTATTGTCAAAATCAGTCAAATCAAAGAGTTTACAGTTTTAAACAACCGAAATAAATAGCAAGTAAAACTAACATCGATTAACATTTCGGCAATCATTGACCCATTGGTATAACAGTGTGCATATAATATACAAACAGACAACAAAAAACAAAATGCAAGAAAACGAGACAAGTAATAAAATGTGCTGAAAAACAAACAGTCTGGTGGAATAGAAAGTTAATACAACTGAATATGTAAATGTATGGGTTTAATATGAGAGGATAGGCAAGCAGAGTTCGTCTCTCCCGTGCCTCTTATTGAAGATTTTCTGCATGTTTCTGTCCTTGCATAAATGATTAATAATAAGCACAGTAATAAATTTTTCTATTATTACACTGATAAAGTGTTGCATAATTCTGAAAGAATCCAGTTGAAAAAGTTATTCATTTTTAACAGGTATTATTTGAGTGGAATGTTTAAGCGTAGCCCCTTGGTCGGTATCACCATGGAAACTGATAGTGATGAGCGTCAATCTCTCTAACTGTACAATGCTACATTATAGTTTATTGTTTGATTCTGAATTATTTTCGACAAGGTAAGGTTTTTCAGCACTGAACTGAATTAAATCGATAAGAATAGAGGAAAATTAATGAAATAAATTTAAATTAATCATTACCATAGATACTTTGACTAAACGTCAACGATGTTCGAAGTGTGCCACCACTCTGAGGCGGAATAACACATAGTGGAACAGCCTCCGGTAGATAATGCGCATTTCTATCGACCGGAAACATGAGACGGTAAACAACGCATTCGCCGGGTACCGTAATGCTCGTCCTGAAAGTACCCAACAAACTTTTGTCAGGGGAAAAAGCGAACGGTGGCCCACAGCGATAGCTGCCATAAGT